ATTAACTCTTTCTTCTTCCGTTGGACAATTCTTCGCGAAGCAAGTTCGAATGCGTTTTCAAGAATAATAAACGATAATTATAGATGTTCGATATCAATGATCGAACTACATACAATTTTATAATTTTATAATATCCGTCAATTATCCAGTGTTTTTATATTTATAAATGAAAGTATTTCCGAGGTGACAATAAAAAATTGTTGCAAATTAGTTTTAATCATTTAATCCTTATTCATCTTTTGAAGTGAAAAATCGAAATATCGTATAATAAATTTCGCGATACGGATTATCTATTTCTTATTAAAAAATCTACGTTTGAAATCGAATATTTGAAATGTTTCTTCGTTTTTATCGAATATTATCGTCAAATGACAATCATCTTACTTTTAAAAAGGAAAAAGAAAAGAAAAATATTTAATTTAGCGTTATGTTTATAAGAAAATTATGATTACAATATTTTGCGATCTTTGAAATTTCATATCTTTTTTTTATACATATTTGTAGATTTGAAATATATCAATTCACTATATGTATATGTATACTTGTTGTAGAAGAATTTTCAAATGATAGATGAATAAGGATTATTAATCGTAAAACATTATACGTATTTAATGGATATAACTAAAATTGTTATTTGAACAAAAAATAGATAATATTGGCACTCGTTTACATTATATTTTGATATATATTTTCTAATATAACGATTCGTCGCGATTCACTACTATTCGCGATTCAACAATAAAAATGATTAATTCGTAAAGCAAGATTCTTATATAACTAGAAAAAAGAATTGAATATAAAAGAAAAGCATTTTATATTTATAAAATATAATAATAAAATGGGCGGCATAATTATTATTACGATATAATTATATACTATTATATATGCAGGATAATCCATTTTATCTGAGAACATATTTATCTGAGAATATATGAAATAAATTTAAAGAAATTGCACTTACAAATTTGATTTTTAAAGATTTTTAAAAGAGTTTTAATATTTAATTTTTACGATAGAAAAAAAGAACCACACAATATATGTGTATATATTTTAAAATATCATTGAAATATCATTTATCGTATAACTATTCCGTTGTATTATATGTTATATTTTTTTCTTCGCCTTTAATACATTGTAGTCTATTTATATTTTAAAAGTAAAAGACATATGCGAGCCCTATTTTCCCCTTTTAAACGTATCAGATAATAATACGAAGCGTATTTAATCCTGCTGTACTCTTTATCTCTTTATCTTTTTTTAGCAGCAGTGTCGAAGGATTCATCGACTATATACAAGTTATGGCAGTCATATCCAATATGATCGGCTGATGCTGTGAAATTTTATAACGAGGCTGGTATAATCTTCGTTGAACAGACACGAGCCGACAAAATGGGCGATGGGGATTAATGCGTTCGTGTCGGTAGCCGAGAATGGAGGCCGAAACCGATGCCTCCCAAGGGGCGAGCCGTGGAACAGGAGGTTAAGAAGGGGAATGCATCGAGATCACGCGTTGTAAGATCAAGTAAAAAAAGAATAGAACACGCGAATCATCTCGACGATATCCAAAATGAGTTCGTGAGAAGGACGAAATTTACGAATGGGCCTAAGAATAAAAAATGAGCGTAGATATGTTACGTAGCGTATTCTGCTGGATGTAAAAATATCTGGATGAGATATCTATAAGCGAGAGCAAGGGATAATCTATGATGCCCTGATGACGATAAGCGTTTGCAACAGAAGCGAAAGTTCTGGATATCTAGAGAGAGGAAAATCTATTCTAACGATCTAGAGTAGAACGGCGAATATTGCGACACATAGAATCGAAGACGAGGACGAGGAAGATGTTTCTACCGAACCGAGAAATTAGTGAACATTCGTATTTATTTTTATTGTTAACGAGCTTAAGCTTTCCCTAAGCACAACGAGTTACTTCCTTAAAGATATCAATTGACTCAAAATAAACGTAGCTATAAACATGATATGCGATGATATGCATCGATATAGAATGATATATGAGAAACACAGATAATATCAAGATATATATATATATTCGATATTTCTCCGAGTTGATAACGAAAGATATTCAGAGAATCAAATGATTGAAATTTTTGCAACAGATTTTCTTATCACATCGAACGATGTGAATCGAAAGAGGAGATATTGGAGAAGATTATTCAAATACTTTTTTATCAATAAAAAACTCGGATGTATTAGTCCTAATTAATTTATTCTCTTTTAATGGCATAATAATAAAACTTTAAACAATAAAACTAATAATAAAACTATCTATTACTTGGATCTGAGAAACAATTTATAATTATTTCTCTAAAACTAATATTTCCGCGATTCAAAAGAGGCGTCAAATGGAATATGAGGAGGAATTTTTTTAATGAATATATCTAACGAATAATTCGTTTTAGGCCTTGATGAATTCCCTATTGATGTGAAAGTGGATAAGTGCATAATTACCTTAACCTTTCCCCCATTCTCAACAATGATAAATAGAAAAGAAAAAAGAAAGAAACAGATCGCGTTTTGCGAGTATCGAGAGATCGGACAAGTCAATGGACAGTGTCGTCATAGTGGTCATCCGAAGCAGTGGTTAATGGATTGAAAACTCTGGTTCGGGAGGAAATACATGGGATGCACAATTCAGAAGGAGGTAAGATTGGAGAAAGCCAGTGAACCGAAAAATGAACTATTTGCTAACGGGAGTGGAGATGAGATTGAGTACATTGTTGACGAGGGGGAGGGGGAGGGGAAGGGGGTAACAAGGCAATCGACAAAGTAGGCAGACGCGATGATCAAGACGATCCTCTGTATCGAGAGAATATCGGTCTTGGAAGCGTTTGGAATCGTATCTATTGTGTGAATACGTATACACATCAGAATACGATTTAACGG